CCATATCTTTAGATAAAGAACCGATTAAAATAATGACTTCAAGTTGGTAAGGTATCCAGAGCTGGATTTGAGACTATTCTGATTTGAAAGGTGAGATGATCAGATTGTTTGGAATGTTGTAAGGGAATGTTAAGGTGATTCCAGTGGTCATTGGAGCATTGGGATCAATCCCATTAAAACTGTGTGATTTTCTTAACCAGCTGGAGATACTTTACCAACTTGGAATTATCCAGAAATCAACTTTCTTGGGCACATATTTGGAAGAAAGTGTTGTCCTTGTGATTTGACAGACAACTTAAGATACCTGATATATTCAAAATCCTACACTGTGTGAATAAACATAAAAATAACAATGTTTTTTTTTTTTTTTATAATGATGTTCATAATGTACAAGACTCGAGAGCCACTTGCGGTAAAGGGTTACTGTTGAGATGTTGAGTGTTTCCCCATGCGTGTATTGAAATAAGGACAAACACATACGTAGGGAAAAATACAGGTATATCTGAAGAGGTATTTACAACAGAGAGATTAGTAGTCAAATGAATGCAGGTTAGTCAGTAACAATCAGAAAGAGTATAAAGTCCAACTGTATCTTCCAGTAGAGAGACGGAAGTGTGATGGTCACCTGATCTCCCAGAACTCTATAGAACTGTCCTATTAGTAGTAGATAGATCAGTCCATTCTGATGAGAAGGTGGGTGGCCCCAACAGTTACAGAGTAAGAGGTATAACTTTTACAGATATGTGTGCAAGACTATGGTTAACTATAGACATGAACCATGAAGTGGGCAAGATTGTAGTGATTAAGGAAGCAACCTTTTAGGAGTCAGTTCCACAAGACAGTTGGATGTGGGAAGAAGCTGCTCAAGTAGAACTTACATTTCACCAATGGAATATAGAGGGAATGAGGGTGGTTTACCACAATGTGTATGGCATGGCGGTTCTTAGCTGGGAAGGTTAGGACTGGTGAAGCTAACGGATGTAGCTCATCTGAACATTATCCCTGGAAATAGCAATAGAGCAGTAAAAGGCTTGCAACATCTTGTTTTTGAGAAAAGGGTTGCAGAATGAAAAATAATTCATCACCCACAAGGAGGTGGAGATGCTTTTAGACTAGCAAGCATAGAAATTGAAGACTGGGCATCTCTTGCCCATATATGGCAGCCATACTTCATTTTGATCTATCTCTTATAAATGTAGAGGATAGCAAGAAGAGTCAGGAGTGATACAAGGAACTGACCATTTTCCAGCATCCTAAGCAATGGATCGTATGTACAAGTTCCATTGGGGTCTGGGCTGAGTTCAAATCCCAATAGATGCTCAAGGATCAGAGCCTCCCTGAGGGTGCATCCATTAATCACAATTGCTGAAAATTCTGGGTTGGCATTGGTGGAATGACACTAGTTTGATTTTCGAAGCATTGAATGTTACCTTTTAGAGCTCGGTCAGAGAAGAGATCAGCTGTGAAGCTCTGGTCATTTTGGGTTTTGGAGATGGACTCATATACTGTTGTATCACCAGTATAGATATTCATATATGATACTCTTAGGCAAATCATTTATGTAAACTAGGAAGAGGGTCGGGGATGTCTGTGTTGATCATGTTTGGTTTGTAAAATTTGTCTGCTCCTATATATAGAGATTGGTCACATGATGTTAGGCGGTCTCTGATTGGTTAATAAAATTTCATGGGTTCAAAAAAAGCTGACCACCAACAGAGAAGGGACCGAACCTGCTCCAAAGTAACACACAAGAAATTCTCTCCGCTATCAATGATACCAGTTGCCAAGGGTTTTAAAGGGACAAGCTACCTATCTTTATTTCACTCACCAGATGGATAAGTCTGCTTGACATAGTCTCTATATATATATAGGAAAGGACATTGTGTTTATATTAACTGTTGTATTCATGTTTAGGTGTAAATAAACATCTTTATTGATAATGTATTTGTGGAATAACACAGTAATTCCACCTACATTTTACGTGCGAAGTTTTCCTCCTTCCTACCACACTTGTGCTCGCTCTGCATGTAGTTTGCACCCCTTCCTCTCTCTTCAATTAGACATAGCAGTAGCCATCCTTTTGTTGTCGACTTGACCTTGCTGGCTACTCTTGATAGCTGTCTAGGACGGATTTTGAATTTTTTTCGTTTCTTGACGTCACAGACGTCCAGCGTTTCCAACTCAGTTGCATTCCAATTTTCAAGCTAGCTAGACGGACAACTCATTTATTCCGTGCCCTTAACCCATACGCGGACCGGAATATCTTATTCCTAACTACCAAAATTTCAACATGTCGACCTCACACTTTCCCAAGACTCATTCTCGTCTTGATGTAACCCGCAGGTTGAACCTTCTCCATTTTCAACTAGAAAACGTGGAGATCCACGACACCGTCGTCAGTATATATTTTTCCAGGACAACTTGCCTTAATGCAAACAACTTTCGAACTTTCCTCTATTCACTACCAGAGTTCTACAACGGTTGCCCTCACACCATTCCAAGACTCAACCTTGTCTTGATGCAAATAACTCTGAATTCTCCTCAATGAAAGTTGATAATCTGTTCATACACCTTTGAACCAGTACCTAAAAAATATTACATACACTCACACTATCAAACTTCCCAGTGAGTACTTTTCCTATTTGTGTACACATACACCTTTTGTTTAACAAGTCATTTTTCCAGAACTTTCTTTCTGATGAAACTTTTTCCCGCCTTAGCCATCTTGGTTTTCTGTTTTGGCGCAGAACACTTTTACTCATGGTATCAACTGTCAAGACAATTACTTGTTTAAATATAATAAAATTTCATATATGTTTTTCAACTAGACGCCTTTTGTCATTTAATTCCGGCTATCTATTTGTATTATTATTTATGCACTTGTTGATTGACCCCTTTTCCTCACTAAGTTCACTCACGCAATATTTTTACTTTGTTTGTGGATTCGGTAGTTTTGTGTAGTGTCTGGCACAAGACCACCTTATAATAAACCAGCACTGCACGCTACCGGGTCCGCAACATATTCTTCTTTTTTGTGTCAATGCCAAAGTGGGACGAGCACAATAATCGCTTAGGACTCTGAAGACTGGCTGTTAACAACTACCTTCCTGTTAGCAAGGACTGAGAAGACTCTTTCAGTGATTCCATAGCTAGAGTGCATGAGAAGCAACCCTTATATGTGTCACCTTGTCAAAGGCCAGTGATGCGATCGTCCTTGAAATGGATTCATTCTCAAATGCCTCACTAATTCTGCGAATAATCAGAGTTAGGATATTAGCAGTGGATCACGTCAATCAAAATCAGTACTCTTTGTTTGATGAACGAGAGGTGATCAACAACCTTCTTGCTGATTATAGCTTCAAAAGTCCAAAGCGTTTGGTAAATGACACTGAGAAGACTGATGTGTCTTTAAGGAGATGAGCACTCATCTGCATTTTTGAGAACTGGGCTTGACATCTTTTTAGGAATAATAAAATTTCTTTTTCAAGCAGCTGTTAAATAAATTCTCTAAGATTAGTGACGACAATATCTCATTTTTTTTTTTTTTTTTTTTTTTTGACATATAGTTTTAATTTCCCACAAGGATGAAAATTAAAAGTTTTAGTACTAATTTAAAAAGGGTAACCCAAACGATAAACAGTGTGTAAACAGTGAACTCTGTGAACAATACTAACTAATCCACAGGTTTGAGGTCAGTCGCGTAAACAAGATTTTATATTTTCTGATACAAAGATTTAGTGTCCTACTTGAAATGTTTATTTCAGATTAAAATTTTTTTATTTTACTGAATAAATAATTACATTAAAAAAAAACAAAAAAAAAAAACATCCTAGTTTAATCACGCCGCTAATGTACATTCTTTTTTAAAGTTCAAAGCATGGGATTCATTAAAAACAAAACGTGATGCGAGTAGAGAGTGTCTAAAATCCTAAATAATGACGTGTGATTTAATTTTTTATCATGGAAAAAGCAAAAAAAAAAAAAAAATATTAGTGATTTTTGATTTAAAGGACAAAAAAAAAAAAAAAAAAAAATTTTTTAAAAAGTATTTCTGATATATTTTTTTAAAACAAAACTAGATTTTAAAAATTGACCTGTTTTTTAAAAGTTTCATTACTTAAAAATTCAATCTGCTTGTTTTACTAGTGAACACAAAGAAAGAGAGGCTTTTATTTTAAACTTTAATTATTAAATAAAAATCTCAATCACCTATGAAAGAAAATAAGTGTCTTTAAAAAGAATTGAGAAATTTATAAAAATTAATTTGAATTACATTTTTTTCTTTCATTGTTTTCAAAAACAATGTTTTGTTTACGAAAATCACGCACCTGAAGTTTAAATTAAGATTTTTTTTTTTATTTTTGGTGGATTAACTGTCCAGATTTAAAAATGTTTTTCAAACAATAGAAAGAAAAAGGAATATTGTATAAACCAGCAGTTCTTCTGTTTAAGGGTATAGAGAAAGAATAGGATGATAGATAGAAAAAAAAAAATTACCTGCAATAAAAATCTTGTCGGCATTATTAACCCATTGAGGTTGATATGCCGAAAATCAAAACAAGCCATATATATATATATATATATATATATAGATAGATAGATAGATAGATAGATAGATATAATAAAAAGACTGAAGGAAAGAACTTTTGGGCAGCTACCTTTCTTTTATACACATTATTAAAAATGTGAACGGTTCTTCCTCGGGGTTGCGGGGGGGGTCTAAGAGTTTTTGTTTTTTTTTTGAATTGCCGTTTATATCGAAACAGTTTTGTTAAATTCAAGAGACAAGAAGATAGATCTGTCTAAAAAAAATGTTCTTATTATTTTTTCTATTGACCAAATAATTCTTCCTTTTATAATTTTTTAAGATATTTTTTTTTAAACGCATACTTAGGCTACACAGATAGAACAATACATACATACACACATATATATATATATATATATATATATATATATATATATATATATATATGATCATTTCATTACACGTGTCTTACCTTTGGGTCGGTTGAATTTTCGGACTCTTTTTTGAAGGCTTCGTATTTTTGGTTGTGGCATTCGCATTATTATCAGAACTGTTTTGTTCCTGCTTTTGAGATTGTTCATTTCTTTGTTTCTTTCCCGATCTTTGACTTGCTTTCCCCAT